TTGCTGGTCCAGAAACGCAAAGAAGAAAGAAAGGTTGGCAGATCCTTGATCACGCGGTGATTTGTTGATTGGAAGGCTGTGTTGTAGGTAGGTCGGCGGTGGGGTGGGATAAAACTGGATGGGTTGGTTGGTGGTAGACAGGGCCGTTGTAGGGTACGTGATGTTGGTTTGGTTGACGATTAGTGTTTCTATGTCTGGCTTCTTACTAGTAGTTGTTGTAGTATAATGACAATAACTTAAGGTTAGAAAGGGAATGTACAGCGAATGTAACAGGAGGAAACTGTATATGCTAGCGTGAAATATGTCGGTCAAAATATGCAAATAAGTCAAACTGGGTTTGGGGATATATAAAGTAAGATGAAAGTTATGATGAAAAAATAGTTAGGTGATAAATAACGCTAACAATGATGTGAAAAATTATAATAAGTAAAACAAAAACTTACGCAATTGACACGAACCGGTTTTCGAAGTATTATCCTTTTTCAGGTGTCGAGGAATGGTTATTGCCCTTGTTCTTGAAAACGCGTTCAATGTTTAGTTCGTAAACACTCTAGAAGGCACAATTCTTGACGAATTTTGATGAAACTTGGCATGAGTGTTGGTTATCACCCATGGATACACCCTATTGAAAATCAGAAAAATTGAAAAATATTTAGTATGAGTTATTGCCCTTGTTCTTGAAAACGCGTTCAAATTTTAGCTTGTAAACACTCTAGAAGGCACAATTCTTGCCGGACTTTAATGAAATTTTGCTTGAGTGTTTGTTATCACCCAAGGATAACGCCTATTGAAAATCTGAAAAAAAGATAAATAATTAGGATGAGTTATTGCCGGATTTTGACAAAACTTGGTTTTATTATTCAGTACCGCGCTGAAGATTGATTTTTTGTCTTCTAGAGTTTTCACGAGCTAAAGATTGAACAACTTTCAAGAACTAGGGTAATAACTCGTACTCAATATTATTCAGCATCGCCCTAAAGAGTTCAAAAGAAGTGTATGACTGAAGGTTGAATATTTCATACTGGTGATTGTTACTGTACTGCTAAATATTTTTATTCAAAATCAAATCTGCCAGTAGGCTTATATTACCTTGCCTGGCAAGCTATCTTCAAAACTTATAAGGCTATTATCTCTTTTATTTGACTTTTGTTGACCTCTTGACCAGAACAAAAGTTATTGTGCACGACAAGACCTATTCAAATGTATGTTCATTGTTACATTCCACTTGAAGTATTAGATCTTCCCATTTCCATTTGTGTCTGGATAATTGTGCCTGCTTAGGTAATTGCCAATTGATCCCTAGATTGTACTTGAAGAGGAACCCCATTGTAACCCTTTCACATCACATGGTGGAGTGTGCTTTGTGAATTTAATCGCTTCTATCTGGTTTGTTTCCTTTTTATTAACATTTTTTTGATCACGTGAAAGTTGAAGTTGGGCCAACCGTCGCTACCATGATGAATATGAGGTCAACTACAACCGATGATTACGATGGATTTTGTACACGTCCCTCTCTTGAAATGGCAAGTTACCCATTATGAATGTTTACTATGTAATTAGATTTGTTGTGGCTCGTAAGATATATATATGTGAGTTAATGATTCACCTTTTATAACCTTGACCTGAGGAGGAAGGTTTATTCTCCGCTAAAAGTTAAATTATTGTGGAAGCCGCAAAGTCCCAATTTGTTATCGAAATGTCGATTCTTTTTGCAGGGCGTTCATCGTTTTCGTTCTGGCTATTTTTTTTTCTTCACTCCGGGAGCTCAATTCTCGGAAACAACAACAGGTATGGAAAAACGGATTTCGGCACACTTTCTAACTCGTGGCTAACTGCGTACTGAATGTAAAACGAAAATTTTCTGAGCAACATGAAGCGACGTGGGCTCTAGTGGGATTTTGCTCGGGTTTCCTTTATTCTACTTCTTATAACAATGGACACATGATGGCAGTTGAAAAAAAAAATTGATTTTCGCAAATAAGTTCGATACTTTTTTTGTCGAAATTAATCAAAATATGCTATTTCGGTTGCTATTTGTCGGACAGATTTGAAACTTATATAGTGTATGGGGGAATAAAAAAACGCATTCAAAATTTTTGCATTACTTCCGGTTTCGAAGTTAGTACTTCCGGGGACGTCACTTCCAGTGGAATTGAGTTATGCCCAAACTAACATATGCGTGTCATTAATACAAACCTATTAAACTAAAAAAAAATACGTACCGGAAGTAATAATTAGGCCGCCATTTTGGTTTGCCTCATTTTGCGAAAATTCCTATTCAGAAGCCATTTTTTATCCGATTTGTGTAATTTTTGTGTCTAACGATACTATAAATGTTTGTCTACAATTCGTCGGAAGCAAAATTTTCGGTTTTGCCTTTTTTATACGAACGGATGTTTTTTTTCCAAAGTTTGAAGGCGTATAGCTCATGACTTTGACCTTTGATGACCTTCATATTAACTGTGATGATAATTTGTGACCTTGTCTATCTGATGACTTTTTGACCTTTGGGGTCAGACGACTCTTTCCCATTTTATAGGGGTCTAAATATGGACAATTTTGAGCCTTTGCAGTGCTCTATCTCGGTCCCTAATAGAAATATGGCAATAATTCTTTCGATTTTGTAATGTAGAGATTCTGAACTTTCCATAGATATATAACATGCATACCTTTCATGCAAATCCAAAACCCCATTCACTTAACATGTGGCTATTATTAGATAAATTGGCTAATAGATTAACCTAGCTGTCAACCCCAATAGAAATCAAAGTTTTAGTTGTTTAAAGATAACGTGTAACGTGGAATGTATGTGTATAATTAAATTCTAAATTTGGTGGAATTATCGAATTTGTGCAGTGCGCATTACTAACTTTCTTATCCTTTTCATCAAAATTGGTATGCATGTGTAAAGTCCAATTCTTAATTTGATAGAAATATTTAAAAAAATTATATGTATGTGTATATAATCCAATACTAAATTTGATGGAAATATGGAATTTTTGTTTTGCGCATGCGCATTACCAACTTTCTTATTTCTTATCCGAATTTCATCAAAATTGGTATGTATGTGTATATAATCCAATACTAAATTTGATGGAAATATTGAATTTTTGTTTTGCGCATGCGCATTACCAACTTTCATCAAACCTGGCATGTATGTGTATAACTTAATTCTAAATTTGATGGAAATATTGAATTTTTGTTGCGCGCATGCGCATTACCAAATTCCTTATTTCTTATCCGAATTTCATCAAAATTGGTATGCATATGTATAACCCAATTTTGAATTTGATGGAAATATTGAATTTTTGTTGTGCGCATGCGCATTGCCAACTTTCTTATTATCCAAATTTCACCAAACTTGGTATGTATGTGTATAATCCAATTCTAAATTTGATGGAAATATTGAATTTTTGTTGTGCGCATGCGCATGTTCAACTTCCTTATTTCTTATCCGAATTTAATCAAACTTGCTAGGTATGTGTATAATCCAATTATGAATTAAATGGAAATATCGAATTTTTGCTGTGCGCATGCACATTGCCAAATTTCTTATTCCGTCTCCGGATTTTATCAAACTTGGCCTTTGTTAATTGACAAACATTCTTTTATTCCTAGTCAATATACTTTAAACTCCAGGCACTTTTGGATATTTGCATTTAGAGATGCAGAAAAGTATTTACATCAATATAATTGCAATAGACCATCTTTGTATGCACCTGAATGTTGTAATACGCCCTGCATCAGTACTGTTATTAGAACAGTTCTAGTTTTTCTTCGTCCCGGGAGCTTAGTTCTCGGAAACGGCAACGGGAACGGCAAAACGGATTTCACCATGTTTTCTAACCTGTGGAGAATTGTGGAATGAAGGAAAATTTTCTGAGCAACATGATGCGACGTTAGTAACAAACGGAAAATCGCCTCTAAAGGGCATGTTTATCAACCGATTTTGATCGGGTTTCTTTCATTGTATTTCTTGTAACAAAGGGCAGTTAAATATTTTAGATTTACGAAAATTCTTTGCATACTTTTTTTTGCCGAAATTAATCGAAAAATACTATTTCGGTTGTTATTTGGCGGATTGACTTGAAACTTACATTGTGTAGACCGCCAGCAAAGTGGAATAAAAGCACACATCCAAAAAATGTTCATCACTTCCGGTTTCGATGTAAGTACTTCAGGTGGCATCACTTCCGGTGGAATTGATTTATGTCAGAAGTAACATATACATTATATTACCAGCCTTAATACAAACTTTTTAATCTAAAAAAAATCGTACCGTAACATGTTTGTCGCCATATTGGTTTGCCTCATTTTGCACAAATCGATTCCCAGAATCCATTTGTAATCCGATTTGCGTAACGTTTGTATCAAACGATCTGTTTAATGTTTGTCTACAAATGATAGGAAGCATAATTTTAATTTTCGGTTTTGCCTTTTTTGTACAACCGGATTGTTTTTTTCAAAGTTTGAAGGCGTATATCTCATGACCTTGACCATTTCATTTCATGGGGAAAGTGCGACCATACTGAAAGGTCCCCAAAATAAAGACCTAAATACCCTACATTTCATAAATTCTTACACCAAAAAAGACCTAAACACCCTACATTTCATAAATTCTTACACTAAAAACACCTAAACACTCTACATTTCATAAATTCTTACACCAAAAATACCTTCAATCAATTCGTATAAAAATACCCTTATATAAAATAACATCCGGTTTTAATAATGTAGAAGGGAGATAACACTTTTTTTGGAAAAAAATCAGACCACAATTTTCGACTCAATTTTTAACCCTTAAAAATGGGAAATAGAATACTAGATCCAATCTTTAAATTATACGATCCGATTCGTTATTCGTTTAACAAGAAAAAAGAGGATTATATTATCATCTCACCAATTGTTGGTAATAAATCCCAATTGAATGATGGTGGTAGAACTACCTTCGAAATAAATTCATTATCGAATTGGTTGCTTCTTTCCGATGCTTATTTCAGATGCGATTTCAAAAGGATGCAGTTTTAGCTAGAGTGAGAGTTGTTGCTCGAAACACAATAGAAAGAGTAGCACGAGCAGCTAATCATGGATTCGAAAAACGAGTACTTCAGTATAATAATGTTGTTGAGAATAATAGGTGGGGTAATTACGTAAATTGGAAATTATATCCTTTATTCGGTCTGTTGGAACACAGAAAGATTTCCATAGGGTTACCATATAAAATTCATCTACAAAGAGAAATCAACGATGATAAGATATTCTTTGGAGAGAATGCTTCAAATGCAAAATTAGAAATAACGAATCTCCAACTTTTCATACCCGTAATAACGCCATCAATTGAAGTAGAAACGAGAATATTCAACTCATTAACTAAAGATATTGAAATAGCTTTTCTTCATCGTAATACGGTAGGTAGCATGACTGGAGAATCCACCATATGGCCAATCACTAACACTATTAAACCAGCAAGATATTTAATGGTTGGTTTCAAGAACTTACCGGATTCTCAAACGAATAACAATAATATCTTTAGAGTAGCAACGAACCAAACTCAAGATCCTATAATCCATAAAGTTCAAGTAAGATTAAACAACGATAATTATCCTAACCAACCTTTAATAATTAATCCACAAAGGATTATAATGAATTGTATAGAAACTATAAAAAACATGTGTGAATTATTTGGAAATCCACCTCAGTTTGAATATGTAGATTTTGCACTTAATCATCCAATCTTCTGTTTTGATCTATCAGCTCACCAAGAAGATCTTTTCAAAACAGGAGTGAACATAAATATTCATATTTAAAAAACACAAGGAGATGTGACCGGTTACTGTTTATTATTGGAAGAAGCAAAACATTTAATAAAAATAGCAGATAGAAGAATGATAAGAATTTAGTAAAAAATACACCCTTAAAAATGAAAATATGAAATAATAGAAGCTATTGAAACAGCTTCACCAACTGTAATAACTTTCAATAGTAAAAAAATCAGCATAACTAAAAAACTTATTGATAAATACAAATATTGTAAAGTCAGAGACGATATAGATTTAGAAAGAATTGACGCGAACGCAAAAGAAGGTGGATTTTGGAATATTTTTAAAAAACATACACACTGGAGAAGTATTATTTTCAAAGTATAAAGGAGAAGGAATAAAATAAAATAATAAAAAATGGTCAAAAAATTTAATCATTCAGAAATATTTCCTAATAACCTAATGCTCATGTGTATATGCGGTAGTTTCGGTTCTGGGAAAACTCATCTCACTTTTAACATGTTGATAACACCAAACCTTTTAGATTTCGATTCACTATATATCTACACAACAACACCAGAGCAATCGTATTATCAATTCCTCAAAGCTTTAGAATATTTACCAAAGAAAGATGTTCAAGACATATTTCAATATTATGAAGAAAACGAAAAAGAAGTGGAAATAAAAGATATCATAGATAACTACATTGAAGCAAAGAATCCAACTGCGTAGCGCAAAGAAATCAAGATGTTCAACAAGAATTCTTCACGAAAGGAAGACATCACAACTGTCACTGCATATACCAATCCCAATCCTTTTCCGGGGTGGATTCTATGTTCATTAGAAAAAATGCAAATTGTTTTTTATTATTTGAATTAAACGATAAAGATTTATCTCAAATCATTCGGTCGATAAATCACAGAATGGACAGATGCATTTAAAAAGGTTTGTAAAGCTCAATGGTAAAACCCAGATGATCATGGATATGTATTGGTAAATACTAGAAAACCTGCGGGTGAAAGAGTTATGATCAACATTGTTAATTTTATTTTTTTAAAAATGAGTAGCGATTGGAATAATATTTTAAAAATAAATAGAGAATATATCAAAGCTAAGAATAAAATAAAGACCCAAGTTGAAAAAACAAATTACAACAACTTGGATTAACAGAAAATCTACAAACTCTATTTCAACCAATATTAAAATCTCAAGAGGATATTAAAAAGAAATTAGCTTAAGAACCCACACTTCATATAGAACGCACACCTCAAATAGAACCTCATCACCCCAAACCGATTGTATATGGTAGTATTATAATTAGGACCTTTGATGATATAAAACGTCTGTTTTCAAACCCTAGCCCAGATTTACCAAAGAGCATTTCACCAATCGTTGATGATGTTTAATGGTTTAAGAATACGATTTAAGCCAAATTCCCCCGAATTTATAACGGATACAAAAGATTTTATATACACATTAAGAGAATGATTAATAGATTTAATGAATGGCGGGGATGTTGGTATTGCCGATTATAAGGATTTAGTAGCATACTCAAAATTTCTACATGCGATAAGAAAGTCAGGGCCCGAAACAAAAAGATCGAAAGAAGTTAAACTATATATAAGAGTAATTGAACATGATGAAGAGGAGGTAAATGATTATGCATAAGATTATCCACCAATCACACGATACAGACGATTTCGAAATAATGGTATCTGGACAAGACATAGACGAATTCGAAGATATGGTATCTGGACAAGGTATAACGTTTTTAACCGACAACAACGAGGAACTACTTAATAGATTACGAGTAATATTAGCGGCAATGAAGGAAGGACATCGATCACACAGACAATTTAATGAAGTGAATTGTATACTAAAAAGACTCCTAGAGAAAGGTATTAAAAATGATTATAAAAGCGTGATTAAAAATGTCAAATAAAGAACAACTATTCGTTATCACCCAAATAAATCAGACATTAAATTGTCTCTAGATTATGAGTACGAACTCGATCGCAATCAAAAATATGAATTGGGATTAAAGTATTTCTCTGTTTACAATTCCATTAGAAATATCAACGAAAAAAATAACCAAATAAAAATATCAACAGATAATGGAGTTACATTCAAAACCATACGTTTACTACCAGGAAGCTACGAATACGTAGCCATTAACGAATACCTATCTGAATATGGAGGAAGTGTAAATGGTAAAAACAATGTTGAATTCGAAGGTAATTTAAATCTGAACAAAATGAAATTGATATTAATATTAAGAAATAATAGTCAAGTTGATTTCAACGTAGAAAATTCATTGAATGCGTTACTAGGATTTGATAAAGAAATATACACCCAATCCACTTTAGCACCACACAAAGCTAATATCGAGAATGATATCATTGTCATAAATATACATTGCAATTTGATAAACGGTGGATTTTTCAATAAATACAAACGTCAGATTATTTACAGTCTTCCAACATTCACTGTACCGATAGGATATAGAATTAAAGAGAAACCATTTCAAACGACGTATTTACCACTTAATTCCTTTATGATTAAAGATATAAATCTGGAAATCAAAGATGGTAAAAATAGGTTTATAGATTTTGGTAACGAGGAAATTGTTATTCAACTTCATTTAAAACAAAAAAATTAACACTCTTCATTCTCTTCTTGAATAGTGAGGTAATCGAAATCATCAAATTCATAGTTTTCATCCAAACTCAAGTCATCTTTATCACTATAAGGATACATGATTCCTTCATCGTCCGGTGCTTTTCTCTTAACGAGATTCAGATAACTTCTAAAAACTTTCTTTTGTTTATCATCATCCTTTGGAATAACTACTCATTGGTGAAACTTTTTCCCCATGGTTTCGTAAATTCATTCGTCACATCATGTTCACTAGCTAATCGAATATAATCTTCTACAGCTATCTTATCATTAGAGTAACCCTTAAACGTTTTCTTTTCTTTTAGAATACCGTCAGAAGCTAGAATAATATTGTATTTAACATTTGGCTCTAAATATAAACCAAATATGATTCCACCATCACCGTAATCATTCTTTCCTTTACAATAATCATTTTCGGACACCAACCCAGCTTCATTTAATTTATCCCAATTACTAAACGAAATGTATAAACTATCGGTATCCGTAAAGTATATTTCAGGCTTATAAAATCCATCTATCACGCGAATAAAATTATTCATTATTTTTTTACTGTGAGATAAAACGAATGATCCCAAATGACTAGGTGTTAGTCGTGTAGATTTAGGAGGTGTACAGTCAAATTCTTTTTCTTCGTCATTAATTTCTATAAACTATATATTGACTATCATTTACTTTTTCATAGTTTATAACGTGTGAATCGAAGTTGGCTTTTAAAGACATTTTATAGATTTCTCGATGTAGTTATATCCTTTTGAATAGATTTACCATACAATGAATTACCTGATAATTTCATGCAATTACTACCTACGATATTACCTTCTCGTTTATATTTATTTCTTAGATCTCTCAAAATCAAAATATAATCTCTATATGGTGGAGTTTTAAAATTTTCTTCGTATACTATACCATCTAATATTCTAATAATTCGTCCATCGGCTTTAACTATTTCTTGAATATCGACCGATGTTAAAACTTGTGAACAGAAACCATTTCTGAACCTGATTTTAGTGCCAGTTCCTTATTACCTTCTTTGTTCGTAAAAGTAATTTTATCTTTAGCTGGTATCGGTTGGAAGAACATGTTAGTAGGATATTCAAACCAGACTTTTAAAATAGCCGTTCTACGTCTGAATTTCTGCTTATTAAAGAGCTTAACAGATTCTTTATTTTCTTCCGGTAGAAACGGTCTACCACTTTCGCTGTCTAAATCCGACATTGCTGAAGCGTACAAACCGTTAGCATCAAAGGCCATTAGGTGAGTACATTTTATTTTTTTAAGTTCTGAATTAACTTCCGTTTTATCTTTTTTACTTTTACTATATTCTTTAAATAAATCAATTATATTATCACTTTCACTAAACTCCTTAATATATTACAAATTTCATCCATTTCATTCGTTTCAAATGATTTTCCGTTAGCAGAAACTCTTCCTCCTTTAATGGATTGTCTGATAAAATATCTTATAAAAGGGTGTGTATGTGAGTAAACTTTTTCTACGTTTTCTTTTTCGATGTGTTTCGGAACCATTCTAGTACTTTCATGCCATTCTTCTTCAACCATTTCTTTATTGTAATGATATAAATAATACCAACCCTTTAAAGATAAAGAAGGAGCCGTTAGATTATTGGAAATATTCTGAAATACAACTTCTTTCATAACTTTGTTATATTTTATCAAACAAGCTCCGAGACATAACGTATCTCTTTTAGCGTAAGGTTCCCATTCGTGTCTTAAAGATTCCCAATTATCTTCGGTGTATTTTGCAATATTAATATCGGTGATCTTTCTCAAATTCATCGGTAGATTAGATGAATTTCCCCATGCCGCCAAACTAGATTTTTCATGTTGATAGGAACATATGAAATTAATATTTTGCAAATAATTAGAGTTCCATTTTTTCTGTAAATATTCATCGGTGAATGAATTAGGTAAAGGTAGAGACAGAATCTCTCTAGCTGTTACTAGTGGACATTGCGATAGTTTTTTCGCATTTTTAAGCACGATCCAGTTATGAAAACCGCTACCGTTATGAGAAATTAATGTTATTCTTTTTTTATCTATTTTTCCTAAACGTTGCAACATTTGATCTTTACCCACAAATATTTCTACTATATTCATTAATTTATTATAAAATTCTTCTGGAACACTTTCAGTGGGATTTAAATCTGGAAAGTTATGTTTTATTCTGTCTAACATTTTTCTTAGTTTTTCTAAATTAATTAAAGTGCAAGAATAAGGAATGACTTTATTCGTTTCTTTTTCGCTATAGGTTTCGCAACCCCATGCGTATTAACAATCATCGTGAATTGTTGGTACAAAACATCCCTTTCTGTGTTTGAAACAATTGTAATTTATTTAAGAATTCCAGAATATTCACTCCGAAACTACCCCGATTGACTGCGATTTAGTTGTCAACAAACATGGCGGCCCCCATGATCCGCCATCTTTTTTCTCACTTTTTTTTTGACTACCCGTGGGGCATAAATTTTCTGAAATGATTTGATGTATATGTATGTGTTACCATTATAGAGAGCTTCGCTCTCATATTATTGAATTACGTTCATTCAGTTTTGGGTATCATGAGACTTGCTTCCCTTTAAGATGGATTAAACTGTGTTATACTGTAAGTTGAGCTTACGGAAGCAGATTAAAGGTATACCCCCACTTAATTTCCCAACTTTCTTGTTTTTTATCCAAATTTCACCAAACTTGGTATGTATTAGGTATAATCAAATTCAAAATTTGACGAAATTATCGAATTTGCGTAGTGCGCATGCGCATTACCAACTTTCTTATTTCTTATCCGAATTTCATCAAACTTGGTATGTATGTGTTTAACCCAATTCTAAATTTGATGGAAAGATTGAATTTATGTTGTGCGCATGGGCATTGCCAACTTTCTTATTTCTTATCCGATTTTCATTAAACTTGGTATGTATGTGTATAACCCAATTCTAAATTTGATGGAAATATTAATTTTTTTTGTTTTGCGCATGCGCATTACCAACTTTCTTATTTCTTGTCCGAATTTCATAAAAATTGGTATGTATGTGTATAATCCAATTCTAAATTTGATGGAAATATTGAATTTTTGTTTTGCGCATGCGCATTACGAACTTTCTTATTTTCTTGTCCGAATTTCATCAAACTTGCTATTTATCAATTGACAAACATTCTTTTATCCCTAGTCAATATACTTTAAACTCCAGGCACTTTTGGATATTTGCACTTAGAGATGCAGAAAAGTATTCACATCAATGTAAATGCAATAGACTATCTTCGTATGTACCTGAGTGTCGTAACACGCCCTGCATCAGCGCTGTTATTAGAACAGTTCTAGTTTTTTTTTCTTCACTCCTGGAGCTCAGTTCTCGGAAACAGCAACAGGTATGGAAATACGGATTTCGCCACACTTTCTAACTCGTGGCTAACTGCGTACTGAATGTAAAACGAAAATTTTCTGAGCAACATGAAGCAACGTTAGCAACAAACAGAAAGTGGGCTCTAGTGGGCGTATTTATCGACCGATTTTGCTCGGGTTTCAATTATTCTACTTCTTATAACAATGGACACATGATGGCAGTTGAAAAAATTTGATTTTCGCGAAAATTAGTTCGATACTTTTTTTGTCGAAATTAATCTAAATATGCTATTTCGGTTGCTATTTGTAGGTCAGATTTGAAACTTATATAGAGTATACAGCCAGAATGGGGGAATAAAAAAACTCATTCAAATATTTGCATCACTGCCGGTTTAGAAGTTAGTACTTCCGGTGACGTCACTTCCAGTGGAATTTAGTCATGCCCAAACTAAAATATGCATGATATTAGTGTTATTAATACAAACCTATTAAACTAAAAAAAATACGCACCGGAAGTAATAATTAGGCCACCATTTTGGTTTGCCTCATTTTGCGAAAATTCCTATTCAGAAGCCATTTTTTTCCGATTTGTGTAATTTTTGTGTCAAACGATACTATAAATGTTTGTCTACAATTCTTGGGAAGCAAAATTTTGATTTTCGGTTTTGCCTTTTTTATACGAACGGATGTTTTTTTTTCAAAGTTTTAAGGCGTATATCTCGGTCCATAATAGAGATATGGCAATAATTCTTTCGATTTTGTAATGTAGAGATTCTGAGCTTTCCATAGATATATTCAAAATTTGATTGGAATATTGAATTTTTGTTGTGTTCATGCGCATTACTAACTTTCTTATTTCTTGTCCGAATTTCATAAAACTTTGAATGTATGTGTATAGTCCAATTCTAAATTTGATGAAAATAATTAATATTTGTTGTGTGCATGCGCATTACCATCTTTCTTATTTCTTGTCCGAATTTCATCAAACTTGGCCTTTATTAATTGACAAACATTCTCTTATTCTTAGTAGAAAAGTATTTACATCAATGTAATTGCAACAGAACATCTTCGTATGTACCCGAATGTTGTAACACGCCCTGCATCAGTACTGTTATTAGAACAGTTTTAGTTGATGGGCGTTCTTCGAACTTTCAAAAAAAAGTATGAGTTTTTGCCGAGTACTCTGCACAAACGGTAATAGTTACAACAAGATTAGCAATGCATTGGATCTGCATAATCGGTGTTTTAACTAATGAATATAAATTGGAACAATTTTGCAAAACGGATAGTGGCACATTGCAAAATGTGCAAAAAGTATATAATTGACACTAGAAGGCGCAATTTTGGGGCGATTTTGCTCGGGTTTTCAGTTTTAGAATTTCGCACGAATATCCTATGTGATAGCAGTTAAAAAATTCGAATTTTGAAAATTCTTAGCACACATTTTTTAGCCGAATTTCGCAAAATTTGACCAAATTTTCTATTTTCTCGGCTATGCATCCGATTGATTTGAAGTTTCTGGTGCCAAAACAGATTATAACAGAAAACAAATTCAAAAATCAAAAATTTTGCATAACTTCCGGTTGGTGCGAAATCAAGATGCTAGCTTCCGGTTGACCCACTTCCGTTTTTTATGTGTTCACTGAAACTTATACTAATAAGTAGACAACGTTAAACAGAGGCATTTAATAGACACGAAAATTGATAGTATGACCGCCATTTTGATGTTTCTGAAGTTATTCACAATTTTATTCAGAGATTACGGCTTATCCGATTTTGATGATTTTGGTGTCAAATGAAAGAACACAAAAATTTAAGAAAGCTCTATGAAGCAGATTTTTGAATTTCGTTTTTGCTTTTTTACAATTTCCGGTTCAATTTTTTCGAAATTTGAAGGCTCATATCTCGTGACATTGACCTTTGACGATCTTCGTATTTACCATGATGATAATAGCTGACCGTGACCTTCTAATGACCTTTTGACCTTTGGGGTCAAACCACGCCTTTTGGTTTTATAGAGATCTAAACATGGCCAATTTTGCACTTTTGCAGTGCTGTATCTCAACCCCTAATTGTATTAGCATGCTACCACCTTCAGATTATTGTACTTATGTACTTATTTAATGGTTTCAAATAATATCGCACTTGATGATGTCAAAGCCATATTTAAAAACATGTTGCAATTTTCTTAAAACTTTGAAAGCTGCACCTTGGATGATGTTGATATTTACAGTAATAATTAATACTGACTACAGCTTTTAGATGAAGTTAATATTTTTCATGTCCGATATGTGATTCTGGTTTTATGGGTGTCACTAAAAGTTTAGTTTGCATTTTTAAAGCCTTCTAACAGGTGACTTAATAGAGATAAAGCAATATTATTTTCGGATTCATAATGCTGGAGGTACTTCGGTATAAAGCCTGTTTATGCTGCCATCTGTGCTAAGGTGGAATTTTTTATGTTTCGTAAAAATCGTTCAGAGTACCCACGCTCTTTCAGTTTTGAGAAAACAATCGTACAGGCTAAGTTAAAATCAGAAGATCTTGTGCAAATTCGGTGAAATCGTACAACTTGTGACTTAATTATACCAGAAAAGGTATGTTTTTGGTGAAAGGAGCTCTTGTGCAAGAGTTGATGAGTATCAGTTTCTTTGAAATACACTTAAATATCCAGTTTATTTGTTTCTGCTATGGAATCTCCCTTAAAGACAGTGGTGTCGAGAAAGTCTACGCTTTTGTCACTCACGTTTGCGGTTAGTTTGATGGAAGGATGGTGGTTGTTGAGAATTTCAAAGAATTCCCAAAACTGTTCAATAGAATAAGTCCAACCCATAAAAATGCCATTCAAGAAGCGACCGTAAAAAAGTGGATTAAATGGACAGAGGGGCAACACCTCACGTTCCCACTCTGCCATGAAAAGGTTTGCGTACGAAGGGGCGAATCGTTTGCCCATAGTTTTCCCTGAAGTTTGTAAATATATTTTACCATTAAATGTGAAATCGTTTCGACTAACACAAATCTCTAAAAGCTTCAGAATTGCATCGTTGGGTCTGTTTGGGTCTGGGTTTCTATTAAAAGTTTTACGAACTGCCGTTAAACCAGTAGTGTTATCGATATTGGTATACATAGAAGAAACGTCGATAGAAATTAAAATAGCATTAGAGGGAACTCGAAAATTTTATTTCATTGACAAAATCGGTTGTGTCTTTCAGGTAGGCTAGAGGTAGTAAGAAATGATCAATGTATTCTGACACTGCATACGACTCACTACCACAGTCAGATATAATCGGGTGGCCTATAGGGATTTTATTGGAAATAAACCACTCCTTGGTTGGGTTCTTATGGATTTTAGTCAAAGTGTACAAATGTCTCTCACAATCAGGTTTGGCAGACAGATAGTCATATAGTTTCTGTTTGAGATAACTAGTTTTGACTAAATCGGCAAGAATATTGTTAATCATATTAGCTGTGAGAGCGAATAGTATAAAGTTGATTATTTAGTTAAAGTTTAAGAAATATGTTTTTATTGTTTACAACGAGCGCCTGTGGTTTGAAGGAACAAGTGCCTTTGGTGCCTACTTGGTCCAGATTATATTAGTCACTTTAGTTTAGTGTCATTCCTATTTGTCACAATTATCCAGTTTTTAAAGCAACATGGCGTGTTGAAGTAAGCTAAAAGTTTCACTGTGGATTTGTGCAGATAACAGGCATAGTAAATCGGTAAACTTGATATTTTATATGTAATTTTGTGTATAAGATGCTTCTTTTAATGTTTATCATTGTAAAGTTTGATGTCATTGCATATTAATGTATATTTTCATCAAAAGTCATGTCTGATATAATTTTCCCTTTCCCGCTACTCAGTTAGTCACGTGACCTGCTGGTACATTGCATAAGTTGATAAGTCTATAGTAATAGATATTTTATAAGTGAATTTGTAATAAGGTTTATTATATTTTGTAGTCAATCTGTGAACAACAACAACTTTATTCTAAGAAGTTAGACGTTAGTAAAGTTATAAAGAGTATAGAATTTGTTTTCACTGAATTGTTGAACGTCTGATTACCTTCTGCACCCACATAAGCAGTTTCTTTGAAAATTGGTTTCGGTAAAATGGCATATTGATTCTCTGCTTCTGAAACGTAATCCTCCCTATTCAGAATGACACAACATGAACCTTTGTCACTCTTTTTAATAACAATGCTATCGTCATTCTTAAGTAAGTTTAATGCTTCACGTTCCCCTCGTGAGAGATTAGGCTTTTCATGTGTTATGGAAAGGTTCTCTGTTTGGCTATTCTTCTCTCAAATGCTTTCAATATTTCAGGATCGATGGTGGCCTGAGGTAGTGTCCACGTGGATTTAGGAATAAACATTGTTCTAGCACCACATGGGTGGTGGTTTCGAAAAAAATATGTGCAGCTAAGATTTCGTTGAAATCGTTCAATGGATGGTCGGATATAATTTAAGTTGGCTATCTGCGGTGTCGGAATAAACTTAAGTCCATGGTCTAAGATTGAATGTTGAAGGAGTGTGAGAACTTTGCGACTCGAGTTAACTACAGTTTGGCCTCTCAGTATTTTTAGGGTTTGGGTAGCGGATATAATGGTTGTCGACGGGGTGATTGGTACTGGTTTGGTAGTTGTTAGAAATCATTACATTACTTTGTTACTTTCAGTTGAGGAAGACAAAACAAGTGGGTGTTTTACCAGTTGGTCTAGCCGGTGGTAAAAATCCGGGTGAGAAGCCAATAGTTAAAAATGGAAAGGTAAATTAAAACACTTCTACTATTTGCCATTAGTAAAAAGGGGACAATAATGTGTATACAACAGTAAGACATCAATCTACTCCTTGAAATTCGAATAAAACCCCTTTTGATAATGAGTGACTGTATCCTTCAGACATTAATGCAACCCTTGATTAAAAGAAGTTTTTCCTAAGATGATGTTAGATCATAAAGATAAATGTAGACAGGGAATGAAAATGACAATATGTAAAGATAGTCGTGTAACTAAAATGCAGTTGCCAATCACTTACTAAATATAGTTTTAGAATACTAGGGTTGAAATTCTTACAGATTTGTCCGACATGCTGTGAAAATAAAGCTAAATACTATTTTTGAAAAACAACTTTGATCGCTATTGCTGACATGTATTTTGAGTAAATGAAGGACTGTGACTCCGTAAATTTTTTTAGAATCATATCCAACTTGTTTGATATCTTATAGATCTTAACCTATACACCAAATTTGATAAACATCTGACAATTTCTGTGGTTTCTATCATGTTTACAAACACTTTGAACTTATATACAGAATTTCAAGGGTTGAGAGTCTGTCAATATTTGTCGAATCGTACCCAAATTCGAATTTATTCACAAAGGCCGCGCAAACGTTCGTGGGTCCGCTAAGCCCAAGCAAACCAGACGCTATTCGGACACGCTAATTAGAAAGACAGCAATTCAGAACGCTAATCGGAATATTTAGCTAGTTTCAAATAGCGCCCGCAAAGGCCACATAATCACTATATAAAAAAGGTCTTGTTTGCTGCAGAGGAAGATGATCAAGCCGGGAAATTCGCCGAAATAAAATATTCAGGGACAGAATAAACCCCTTAGATGTATATGATGACAAGGACTTGTTGAAAGGTATCGTATGCCGCGCCCGTTAATTTAAAAGTCATCGACTTGAAAACAGCCATATATGCTGCACTGCAGGTACTTAGTGCTCTGCGTAATTATGCCAGTAGAAATTGTCAATACGTCAGTGGAGATCTTTGTGGGATAAGCCAAGCATCCGTTTGTCAATCGGGTTTCAGCAGTCGCCGAATTCCCAAAGTCATTGGGGTTTAGTGGCTATAAAAGCGCCGCATTTGAACGAAGATGCCTGTTTGTCGCAAAGGTTTTCATACGATCAACGTGCAATGATGTCTTTCAATGTTATCAAGGAGTACAGAAACTTATAGCTCTGTAAAATGTGCCTTCATTTTCGTTATGGTTGCGACTGAAGCCCCCGTCGTGCTACTGGTAATGTTGTATGTGTTCGTGTTGAGTAATTGTCAATTACGTCAGTTTGCGTGGTCGCTAATACTAACAACAGCGTTGGCTATGCGTAAAGTTTAGGGGCGACCGGCAAATAACACGTAAACGCAATGTTAACTCCACGCAACGCCAAACTAAGCGTTGCTTAAGTGTGTTAAGTGTGGTTCCGGTTCATTAAGGCGTCTTAACATTTACCCTAATAGAGATAGCGTAATTAATGCTGAGAACCTAAGTCTCCCAGTAATACGCATCATGAATATTTCGAAACTACATTCAGTATAGATAGAATTACTGAGTTTGACATGTCGGTTTAATCTATCTTATCCCAAATTTCTATCAGAAATGCTCTATATCAAGTTTGCGCATATAAGAACGATCTAAGATGGATTAAAAGATTTCATGCTGTAAATTGAACTTACTGAAACACCCTATAACAACGCCTACTTTCTTATTTCTTATCCGGATTTCACCAAACTTGGTATGCATGTGTATAATCCAATGGCCTACACTAAAAAACAATATGCCGCATGGGGCGCTGATACGCAACTCGGTCTTTAATAAACCTGAAATAGAACTGTGCTGTATCTGTAGACGCTTAGTGGCGGAATCTGTCAAGTTTCGATAGTTATTTCTGTTTCTGCAATGCCGACTGAATGTTGTGTTCCGCTTTGTAAATGTAGAGGGGGCATCTATTTCCTAAGAAAACTTCTGGTCGGTACAAGCTATGGAAAACTGCAATGCGAAGAGGCGAGAAAGACTGATCACCATCTAAGCATGCAGTGTTTTGCAAAGCTCACTTTGACGATGGCGACTACATGGGACAAACATGTTCAGGTAAATAATATTTGATATCCTTATCTTATAATAGGCCTTTTTATGAAATAGCTCTTTATAGAAGATTCAAATAAGTATAGCCTTATTTTGCTTTTGCTTTTATAAAAACAAATAATTTGAAAAAACTATTTTTACAGAGGACAATTTTTAGCCAAAATTGGCTAAATAAGTGTCTTTTTGGGGTTGAAATTTCCTTAGAGTTAAATTTGTATTAAATGTAAACTTACAAAAATTATATTTTTATCAACACTAAGGCTAAGGCATTCTATAACCAACAGTACTATTGTGAAAATATTCAAATTCTCAAGAAAATAATAGGCCTAGCAAAATAGAACTTCCATAGACAATTTTAAAATATTTTTGTGTTGATCTGTAGCCTATTCCTGAAGGTTCAAAACAAAAACATTTAAGATGTGAAATATAATTGGGACTGAACAAACATTCTATGAATAACATTGTATTTTTAGGAACTGAAAGATTGCAGGCTAGACTTAAAGCTACAGCCATTCCACACATTTTTCTCTGGCAGCAAAGTCTGACGGATACAGAGAAAGATGTAAGAGAAGACTATTAGACATGGAGGAAGAGGCTAGAAATTTAGATGCGCAGATTACAAATGATTTAAATGTTGTTGGTGAAGAAATAATCAATGACACATTGAAAGGTAATATTAAAGAGCCACAATAGGAAAATATATATTTTTTTTATTACGAATATGTAATCAAAATATCGTTAGAAGTCGTATGCAAAAAACCCGATGAAAAACAATTAAGAAATAAAGCCACAGTAAAGGTCCAAAGTTCATTATCGCACCTGTTGCCGAAGATTTACGATTCTAATTACCGAACACTTCCGAATGATACTGAAAACAATGCATGACGTCATATTAGGAACATTTATCAACTGTCAAACAATGGCGTCAATGACACACGAGGAAAAAGCATCCGAAGCACGGCCTATCGAATCCAGTGAAGACGAAGACGAACCAGAAAATGATTTGTCATGTGGGCCATCATCTTTTGGTGATGAAGATGAAAGAAAAAACCTTACAGAAAATCTAGATTTAGATGAAATCGAGGAGGTCGTTGCTGCTGTGGCTGGAATAAATCCATACCAGTTCGAACCATACGCTTCGGACTCCGAGACCACTGAGAATGAGGAGGGAGAAAATCCAGAAGAAAATAGACTTCAAGACAATTCTTGGTAAATTTAATTTAATTTGCGAGCTTCCATTTATCCTTTTAAAGTTCCGAATTTGGCTTTTCTCTTTCATCAATATGACAGACACTATTTTCGGGGTGCGTCTTTTCACTACCGATGGCCATCGACTAAGTTTTGTAACACGGACATAACTTTCATAAGACGACCCTTGGATATAAAAATTGATGTTGACATTTCCTGCATAACACAACATCCAGGATTCTCAACAGTCTGCCTTGATGTTCATGTTTTGAGTGTTGCATACTTCCAGTGCAGACAGGAAGATTCTAACGCCAGTAGGTAATTTTCTGCCACCACTAGTTATTTTGGGTTCTACCCAGGAACTAACTAGATACCTGTTACTCAAGTAGAGCGGATTCAGCGTTTTACTTCGAAGAGAGTGGGCAAGTAACCAGCTAAAAAGTGGTTCTGCCTTATCCTTTAATTTCCCTATTGAGACCCTTATCCCAATTTTTTAGTGTCTATTGCTACAAATTTCGTTTGCGAGTTTAAGGCTTTGCTTTTAATTACAACAGTATTCATTGACAAAAAAAGTATACCACATATACAATAACATCAAAACTGTATCGTAAGATTTACAAGATATTACTACCTTGGGTAGGACTCGGACTACTAACCGATATCTATGCAGAGATATCAGCAGCCAAGCATTACCAGTCAACACACCAATTACAGAATCATTTGAGACTATAATAATTTCGATAACAACTTAACGAATGGTCAAAAATGACAATTATTAAAAAATCATATAAATTACAAAATGACAAACAAAATATTTAGAATATCAAAAATGGCATTTTGTTAATATTGACAATATTATAGAATTATTAAAAGAATTTACAGTTATTTAAATTGGCTTCAATATATAATTTTCTTAATTGCTTTATAATTTTTAGTTTAAGTTATCTCCCTTGTCAACATTGTCTTGACGTATAAACTTTTTTAAAACATGATAAAAATTGCAAAGCTTTCGTAACATTTGATATGAGACACACATATTGTTTTGTAAATATAAATCCGACAGTAATAAGAATAAGGAATACACTTACGATAAAATAAAGCCAAAATCTTTCAGTTACAGAGGAAACAGGTATAGCTTATTTTATTTCCACATTTCTTTTGATGTTTTATAATAGTTTCTGAATCAAATTTTTTTCCACACCATCTACAATACTCTGTAATACTGTTTTCCATAACCTGTAAAGATAAAGATGAATGAGTTTTAATTGTATAATTATTACAAAACATATTCACTCAAATGGCCACGAGGTTTTGATTCTCTGCCAGATTTAGTGATATACATATGATCATTATAATAAAAAAGCTCATCAGTATCTTCTTCGATAACTTCTTCTGTATCTTCTTCTGTAATTAAAGACTGTTTTTTCAATCTGTCGGTATGTACAATTTTTGTGGTGCTGCCCATGTCTACCTGGACAGTTATATCCGAAATTTTCTATATAATCTTGTATGGCCCCTTCCAACTTTTGAAATTTCTTCGGTATATCCGGATTGACTAGGGGTGTACAACCATACAAGATCATTTACTTGGAATGAGCGGTTTTTTAGACCGAATATCATATTGTCTTTTCTGTCTAACTGCAGCTTGTTTCAGATTTACTCGAACATGATCGTATACATCTGTAAACTTTTCTCTTATGTTAGCGGCATAAGATGTTAAAGTTTCTTTAGCTTCTGGTGGTAATCCAAACATTAACTCTAACGGTGTTATTACTTCCCTTCCAAACATAAGATAGTTCGGTGACATCTTACTGCTTTCTTACTGGGTACTTCTGTTCGCCGACATTACATATAGTAAATAGTCGTCCCAGTTATCTTGTTTAGTGCGGATAAAAGCTGATAACATGTTTTGAACAGTACGGTTGAATCGTTCAACAAGTCCGTCCGACAGTGGATGATATGCTGTTGTTCGGGTTTTCTCTATTCCAAGAAGATGACATATTTCTGTAAATATTCGACTTTCAAACTGTCTTCCTTGGTCACTGTGGAGTTGATATGGTATACCTACTCTCAGAAAAACCTCTGGAACAAGAATTTTAACAATAGTTCTTGTTTCCATATTAGGCATTGGAAATGCTTCGGTCCATTTTGTATAATAGTCGTAGAAAACAAGAATGTAGCAGTTACCTGACGATGTTGGGGGTCAATTTGCCCCATTATGTCAATCGCCATGCGCTCTAAAGGAGCACCAGTTCCAAAAGAACTGAGATTCGCCCTCTGTTTACTGCCTTTTCTGCGACAGCAGATTAAACACTTAGCAACATAATCACGAACATCGGCATTCTTTCCTGGCCAATAATATCTGTCTCTAAGTCGGGATAATGTTTTTCTTACACCAAGATGTCCGCCAGTTGGAGCATCGTGTGCCAACCTTAAAGTTTCTTTAATAGCATCCTTCGGTAAGATTATCTGTGTCACTTTCTTATGTGATGTAACAGGTATCTCCCTACATAGAAGTCCATCCTTTACTACAATTAGATCCCATTGTGACCATAACTTCTATAGACTTTGAGATTCACAAGATACTTCTTAATAATAAGGTTTTCTTTGAGAATCTTTCCATTTCTTAAGTTTAGACAAGTCTCTATCTTCTTGTTGTAAAGTTAATAAACTACTTATATCAGGTGTTAAAACATTGATACTAGCTGTAGATGTCATGGGTGTTTCTATGACTGTCTGATCTTCCCTGTTTTGATTTCTCTCGCATTGAACACATGGTTTGCGAGATAATCCATCAGCATTTCTATGAACAAGCCCAGGTCGATGTTTTATTTCGAATCTGTATTCAGCCACACTTTCCAACCATCTCACTACTTGGCCTTCTGGATTACGAAAATTCATAAGCCAGGTCAATGCACCATGGTCTGTTCTAATCAAAAATGATATACCAAATAAATACGGCCGAAAGTGTTTGATCATTTTTACAACGGCTAACAGTTCTTTTCCGGTTACACAGTATTGTTTTTCAGCTTTGGATAAACTTTTGCTTGCGTAGGCAACCACCCTCTCTGTCCAACTATATTTTTTGAAAGGACTCCACCAATTCCATATGCACTAGCATCAGTATCCAGAATAAATGGTTTTGTAGGGTCTGGATATGCTAGTATTGCGGCTGTAGTTAATCTTGTTTTCAAGGTTTGAAAAGCATCATTGTGTTCTTCATCCCATCGAAAAAGTTTATTTTCTGTGTAAGTTTGTGCAATGGTGCAGCAATTTTTGAAAATTGATTAACGAAGCGTCTGTAATAGGAACACATCCCCAAAAAACTTCTTAGTTCATGAATATCTTTTGGAGGAGGACATTTCTTGACTGCTGATATCTTTGACGGGTCTGTTGAAATACCATCTTTTGACACTACATGATCTAGGTAGTTAACTTCCTTTTGAAACAGGTTACATTTCTTCGCCTTGATTTTCAATCCGACAGTTTTCAACCTATTAAAATCTTGTGTCAGATGTATGAAATGTTCGTCAAATGAACGAGAAAATATGATTATATCGTCAAGATATATTAAGCAGATATCAAATTGTAAACCTGATAAGACTTTTTCCATCAACCTTTCAAAAGTCGATGGCGCATTGCATAGTCCAAACGGCATTACTTTAAATTGATAAAGTCCTTGAAAAGTTGTAAATGCTGTTTTGGGTTTATCTTCCTCATCCATAGTAACTTGCCAATATCCCGAAGATAAATCTAAAGTGGAGAACCATTCTACACCATTTAATGAATGCAGTGTTTCATCGATTCTTGTTAATGGATAAGCATCTTTCTCGGTTTCTGTATATAACTTTCTGTAGTCTACACAAAATCTGGTAGTACCATCTTTCTTATTAACAAGAACTATAGGACTAGCCCAAGGACTTGCCGATTCTTCTGTAACATCCTGTTCAAGCATTTTCTTTAAAGCTTCCTCCACTTCTACTTTCTGGTGAAGAGGAATTCGTCTGGCTCTCTGCTTGATAGGACTAGCAGTACCAGTTTTTATCTTGTGAGTGACATCTTTGGTCTTGCCAAGATCTAAATCACTCTTTGCAAATATATTTTGAAACTGACTTAAAAAGTTTTTAAGTTTAAGCTTTTGGAGTTTTAAGGTGATTGGGAAAATCATCAAACTTTTTACTCGAAAGCTGTTGCTTATTAGGCACATCAACTTTAATCCAATTGTCCAATGGTTGTTTACTTAAAAATTGTAACTGGGTTTGTAGAAACATTCATGATCCTAACCGGCACTGACAACACCTTTTCTTTTGGATGTTTTTCTATCATGACGGTTTGTCCGTTCAAATCGTTCTTAACCGACTCATGGATTCTACCAGGTACTATCATTTCATGACCAGCAGGAATCATTATACTCTTAGCAGCTATTTTTCTTTTCACTGATGAACCACCTACAAATTGAAGGCTTAATGTCTTTTCGGATAACTCCATTTCTCTGTTTTTAAGGTCAATCTTACAACCATGTTTCTCAAGAAAATCTAATCCAAATATACAATGAGATCCTATATCGGCAACGACGACTGGCTGTTTATAAACCATATCACCAAAAACAAATGTAAGTTCTGTGGCTCCCTTTGTCATATTTTTTCCATCAGCAAGGCTTATGTCGTAACAAACCTTTTTCAAACAGGGTTGTTTGCTTATCTGTTCAAATACAGCTGTTGACACAAGGGTCGTGGTAGCTCCTGTATCTACCAATCAATATGTCTGTACGTTCTCTATTTGAGCTAGCATGTGTAGACCTGCTTCACATAGAGCTCTTAAGAACTTATTAATTCTTCTTTTTTTCTTGTTACTTTTATTTCTCATTGTATGTGCTTTATCGTTGGATTTCTTCTTTGTATTGTCTTTCTTGAACCAACAATTCGTACTAGAGTGTCTCTTCTTCTTGCAATTTTCACAGATAATATCTGTTCGTTTCTTCTGTTTTTCGAGAATGTCTATTTTAGTCTGTAAGGATTTCATTCCTTCAGTTAATTGCGTTATCTGGGTCATAATTTGATCAGCTAGACTTTTGTCAATTGCACCATCACTTTCTGGTTTTGGTTCTGTTACAGACCGAGAATATTTCTGTTTTGGACGCTTCGATTCATTAGAAACTCTGAAGGATTCTGATTCTACTGCTATATGAACAGCTTCTTCTATATTAGAAGGTCTTGTCTGTTGGATTTTCCAGACCATGTCCATATCATCTTGTAGTGAATCTAGGAATGCGTCATTTGCCAAAACATCTTGTAAATTCTATTCGGCTGTAGGGTATGCCAAAACACCCATTCTTGTAATTGATTGTCTTAACTCAGTCAATTTTTTGTGTTATGTTATGTTTTCTTCTTTGGTTTTTTAGTTCACTTTTGTGAAGTTCTGTTTGATTACGAGGTTGAAATCGTCTTTCCAACGCAACCATTAATGATTCATAATCATAGCGATGTTCAGGTGCGAGTGAACTAAGAACTTGTTGGGCAAAACCCATTAAACATTAAGGCTAAATGGAGGCCTTGTTCTACCTTTGTCCATTTATTAATTCTTATACAGGTTTGAAAATGAGCTTTGTAATCCATTAACGGCGTAGTGCCATCATATTTACTTGCTGCAAGTATAGGTTTTCTATACTGCTGCTGTCTACCATACACATTATGATGTGCATCTTCCCTTTGGTTCCAAACTGGATCCATGGGATCAGGAGTAAACTCCAATCTGTGTGACAGTGGATCTCCTGTTTCTTTAGGTCTGGTATCTGTCTGTTTTGTTTCTGATAGTGATAGGGTAAATTCAGGACTTTCATGTTGACTGATTTGTTCCCTTTGCACACTATCGAAAAGAACATCTGACAATGTACGGCGACTTCCAGAACCTCTTTTATTAGACACTTCGCTAGAAGTAGAATCTGTTTTATCCATTCTTACAATTGAAGGATTTTAATCATTAAAATGGGTAATTTCGACAGATATCCCACCTCTGCCACCAAAAATCTGTAACGCTTTACCAATGCTCTTGGCTTGGTTCTGACGCCAGTAGGTAATTTTCTGCCACCACTAGTTATTTTGGGTTCTGCCCAGGAACTAACTAAATACCTGTTACTCAAGTAGAGCGGATTCAGCGTTTTACTTCGAAGTGAGTGGGCAAGTAACCAGCTAAAAAGTGGTTCTGCCTTATCCTTCAATTTCCCTATTGACACCCTTATCCCATTTTTTGAGTGCTTATTGCTACAAATATCGTTTGCGAGTTTAAGGCTTTGCTTTTAATTACAACAGTATTCATTAACCAAAAGTATACCACATATACAATAACATCAAACTGTATCGTAAGATTTACAAGACATTACTACCTTGGGTCAGACGACTCGGACTACTAACCGATATCTATGCAGAGATACCAGCAGCCAAGCATTACCAGTCAACACACCAATTACAGAATCATTTGAGACTATAATAATTTCAATAACAACTTAACGAATGGTCAAAAATGACAATTATTAAAAATACATATAAATTACAAAATGACAAACAAAATATTTAGAATATCAAAAATGGCATTTTGTTAATATTGACAATATTATAGAATTATTAAAATAATTTACAGTTATTTAAATTGGCTTCAATATATAATTTTCTTAATTGCTTTATAATTTTTAGTTTAAGTTATCTCCCTTGTCAACGTTGGCTTGACGTATAAACTTTTTAAAACATGATAAAATTGCAAAGCTTTCGTAACATTTGATATGAGCCACACATATTGTTTTGTAAATATAAATCCGACATTAATAAGAATAAGGAATACACTTACGATAAAATAAAGCCAAAATCTTTCCTGAGAATTAGAGGTACTATAGTAAACACAAGCTAGTCTTGTACTTTAAGACTTAAATGTATAACTCTCAAAAATAAACAGACAACAAATAATCATTTCCTAGATTCGCGACCATACCAAAACAAAATAAATTCCATGCATCCATTCTAAATTTAAAGTTCGGAATTGTACAATTTATTTCTCTATCAGGTTACAAAGACATTTTTGCCAACCATGATTTTAATATAACAGACTAAATATCAAGGATATGTAAGCAATCTCTAAAGCAAACGCTGTAAATAACGGACATAATTTTTATCATTGGACATGTGGTTTCTCAACAGTAAGCTAAGCTTTTGACCTTGTACTTAGAAATCATCATGTTTCTCAAGATATACAAGAGTTGGCACAATATTTATCATAGGACATAAGTAGATTGTAATTTAAATTTAAGTCCTTTATATTTTATTTGTAATATTTGTTCAAAAATCAAATGTTAGATGGTGCTGGCAATTCCTCGGGAAAGAGGTACGTGTAGTCATTCCTTCATGTGCAGTATTACGAATTAGGAGCACATTTCCTGGCCAGAATTACACTGGTTTCCATCAGGCAGACAGTGACTAGTTACCGTACTGCAGTGTTTAAGCGGCTCATCAGATTTTGAACGACTATCACTCCTCATATTCACTACAAAGAGTTTAACACCATGCTCATTCATATGTGATACCTCTCCAAGACCCATCACTGTGGTCATCGCTGTTTGTACATAGTCTACAAGAGTAAAAAGTTTAATCTTTAAAAAACATTTTAACTTCGAAATATATGATTTTACATTAAAGGGATTGTAAAGAGGTTTTCTAAATTTTGTAAGTGTATCGGGCCACTGATAGCATGATTTTGCGCCATTCCAATTTCCATTCCAACGTCTGTATTTCTTGCAATTCCACTATGGCGTCACTGACAGTGATCTACCGGAAGCTTCTATTGATATCTATGCAGATCACTATGAGTGATCAGTGTCCCCGATTCACATACAAAGTTTAAACAACCTCTTTACAATCCCTTTAATCATAATATCTTTGGGGTGTAAAACCTACTCGTCTAACACCTTGTTGGTGTATGTAATACATGAAGAATCCAGACATTAATGACCAACACTTGACTTGCTTGGCTTTTAAAGATCAGTACTACTTGGATCACTTACCATATGTGCAGTCTACCAAAATTCTTCGGACAGAATAATCCCCCTTCTTAAACTTTGGGTAGACTATCTTGTACCGTGCTCTGCCATCCTTTGTTACAGCTTGTTTCCTTTGGCTGTTCTCATTAAAGTGTAGAGCTGCCAGCCACAACCTGTTTAAATTTTAAATAAAACTGATGTAGTTCAGTTGTTTCATACAGAAATTCATTGAAAAAAATATGAGAACAAAAAGCAAATCTTTACAACTAATTTCAAACAATGGGTAGACACGCAGTCTCAAGTTCATTTCATATTCTGATCTTTAATACATGGACTTTTTATGGTATACCATTGTCCATCTGTTTCAGTTTATCGTTAACACTTTTTACTCTAAAATCAAATAAAATTTTATCAAATTTATTTAAATTTGTGCATATCATGCTGCGCACTGTGGAAGCATTCCATGGTAAGAAAAGCCAATCATTTTGGGTGCAAAGTGGTTTATTACAGAATGGTACCATTCCAAGGCTGATGTCTGTTTGCCTGGTGACAGCGTGACAACATTCTTTTTCATTTGACAGTGACACACAATTCCCTGCAGCTTTGCATACACCTTTGTTCCTGAAATAAAATTGAACATTGACAGAGATGTTACACATTACAGGGACATATGTTTTATAACCAATTTTGGGATGTACAGATGAACAGACGGACTAGGGCAAAACTTCCACTACGACAGGGGGCATAAAAACAGCTGAGAATAGCCACATATTGCATATACAAATGTACCTGAAATGTTTCAAACAAACATAAGCCAAGGCTCTGTGTTCAAGGCCCTTATTAAGATATACTTTTCTTTTATAATTTTACAAATTGTTAATAAGATTTATCAGTACCTGGTTTAAGCCATTTTTTGTGCCTTTCTCTGCCCTCTAAAGGCCCATGCTGACATGCTGGAAATTCATCACCATGTCGATCATGTACATTTATGATGTGGTTCAGAATAGAATACCACTTAGCAACAATAACATCCTGGTCCTGTCCTGTGGAAGAGGCAACAGAACAGTAAAGGTGGTTGACAATACTTTTAATCCATGGCTGAGGGTCATTGCAGTCTTTTTCTATTGAAAGTTTAGCCAACTTTTTCTTTAAACCTGAAAAATAGCCATTTCATTATATATTTTACCTAACAAAATGTGTTCATAAAACATTCATGCCACAGTAAAAAAAACCCTGCTAATATTGCCAATAATAGTAAAGTACTTTTAAAAAACTTCATTTAACAGCATTTTAAGAAACTAACCTTTGGCAACATGCCATACATCCAAGTGGTGTGTTGTTTCCCGTATCCACTTTGCTATCATTTTGTGTCCATCTCTTATGATTTTCTTAATTGGGATATCATGGTGACAGAAAAACTTGACACTCCGCACTAATCCACTAATAATAATTTGGTTTGCTTGCACTCTCTCCATCAGTCTGTCCATCTGCCTAATCAGTTTTCAACACTTTTTTCATAATGCTTAAAGATATTAATTTGATTTTCAGTATGAATTTTTTTAGGACTAATTTCAAAGCAAACAAATGTAAATATATACCTGAACTAATTGAATATCTGCAACAGTTCTCTCATCTAAATCAATCATATTGTAACTTCCATACTTTGCGCAATGTCCAGGGGTGTCACATCTTCCACCACCGCCAAGTACAACACCTCTACCACTTTGAATAATATCTCGAACATAATTTTGTTGGTAATTAAACCAAACATGCCCTAATGCTGGAAAAATAAAGTACTTCTGGTGGTTCATGTAGGTACTCATACTGATACAAGAAATGTTCATGAAGTTGTACATCCTCAATACTTCACTTGGAATTGATCCAAAGAGGAGAATGGCAGAAGACATGCTTAAATTTCCAGCTGGCTTTCCTCCGACAAAAGGCTGGCTAAACCATTTGAAAGAAAATTTACAGGCAAGACATACATAAGATATCTTTACTAGAGAACCATTCACATAATTTAAAAGTTAAGGCGAAGTTTGACTATAATTTTATTATAGTAAGGTTTAGGTAGAGATCAAATGAGATATGCGCATGCGCCAATCCATCTTGAACTATCTGTTTGTTTGCCCCCTAAGGGCAGGGACATGTAAAATAAAAACTTCATCCATGAATTACATTTATCATCCCCATGAACTGGTGGGTATTTGATCTCTGCCTAAACCTCACTATAATAGAACTATAGTCAAACTTCGCTTAACTTTTAAATTTTAAATCTCGTTTCGGTTTATCTGTAGAGATCCAATGAGACTTTAAAGTGGCAATCAAACAGATTACATAAGTACATAATAAGCTTTAATAGTATATCAACTATTCCACCTACAATTATGATAACACACTGTTACAATAGTTACTTTGATGTACAATAGGTCTATCATAAAACTAAGCAAATGTGGACACTTTTGACTAACCAGCATTATTTAGGATATGTTCAATAGGAACATCCGCCAATTTAGCCTTAGAAACTTAGGCAGATCGCACACTGTGTGTTTTATAAATAGACACATCAAATTAATCCACCTACTTATTAAACAATTTAACAAAACTAATAAAAACTTTCATCTCATTGCCCCTTACATCTTTTGTTTTTTCTAGATATTCTTTCAAAGTATGAAAAGGACATATATGAATATTGTCCGGGTAACAGTCAATTACAGCCTTTGGGGGTATATACCCTGGCCTTGACTGCTTGAGATAATTTCTAGGAAAATCAAAGGTGGAAGAATTTTCTCCTTTTACTACATTATGTAAATCTAATAGACCCAAAGACTGACATCTAGCAGCCAAGATTAAACTAAGTAAAAAAAACTGTTTTTAATGACAATTCTTTAAGAGTTAACTTTTCAACTGGTGAAAGATTTTCTATCCAGTGTAATACAACCTGAACATCCCAGATTTCATTATATCCGGGTGTAGGTGTTCTCATACTGTAAACACCTTTCATAAAACAAAGAATTAAAGGATGCTTTCCTATGTTGACACATTCAGATAGATTAAAAACTAATTTTGACACTGCAGACCTTGCAGTGTTAATGCAACTATAAATCATCATCAAAGAGTTTAGTTAAAAATTGAATCACATATTGTACAGTTGTTTCACACGGATCAATTTTCCATTTACAACAAAACTTGAACCATCGTTTAATATAAGTTTCATATTGTTTACGGGTGTGTCCAAGAGTTCCACAATATGCTGGTAGACTGTTCTGAAAACTTAAATTCTCCCATCGAATTCCGGAAACTTTGCAAGCTATAAGAGTCAACTTCCTTCTGAGAGGATGTAGTTTGTCCGGTTGATGTGGCATTGACAACAGTTTGTTTAATCTGGGCAACACTCTTGGAAAATCCACCAACAATTTCAGTAGAAGGCTGAACCATGGTTGTGTTGTCCACAATGGTAGAACAATTATTCCATAACATTGATCTTCTCTTATCTTTTTCAAACATCTTGTGATAAGACTGAAAGGTGGAAATAAATAAATATCATTAGACCATGTCAATGAAAATGCATCAACATGTTTAGCACCAGAATCCGGTCTCCATGACACATAAGTAGAAACCTGATAATTAAGTCTTGATGCAAAGAGATCAACAACTGGGTTACCAAATATCTTAACAATATGATTGAAAACATTTTTATCAAGCATCCATTCTGTTTCATCATTAAAATGCCTGCTTTCAATCAGCTTGAACATTTTCCACTCCAGGTATATAAGATGCTGTAACCCAGATATCTTTCTCTATGCACCAAGAACATAGCTCTTTAATCAAATTGTTTAATCTAGGGGACTTAACTCCACCCATATGATTTATATATGCTATTGCAGCAGTGTTATCCATGTACAACTGAACATGGGTAAAATCGATTTCAGGGCAAAAAGATTTTACTGCAAAAAATGCTGCCAATAATTCAAGATCATTTATTGATTTATCAAAACAAAATCTTAAAAATTTTCTATCAGTTTCTGCTATGTTTACACCATAGTATGAATCTGTAAAATCGATTGATGTTATAAAGCAATTTTTGGTAATCAAATTTATAGCAGTATTAAAGGTATCCATCTTAAAATGGTAATATTCCAAATTTTCATTTAAATTCTTTAAATTCAAAATAACTCGAAAGGAATTTGGCTCCCTCTTTGGTCTAATAAAAATATTTGAAATATATTCACCCTTAGAATGATGGGTCTTTTCAATGACCCCCTTCTCAATTAAAATGGACAACTCCTTCCCAATAATAGTCATCTCATTTTCGGAAAAAACAATTTGTTTAGGGATGAAATGCTGCTGTGGGGTTTTACCATCCACAAACTCTAATTTAAGACCCATGATGTCTTGAAGAACGCGTCTATCAGATGTTATATCTCTCCAATTATTAATAAATTTACATAAATTTCCAGCTGTTCTACAAATTTGACTTCCAGAATCATTCACACTTACCTGTGTTATGTCTAATTGTTTGTTATCGAAATGTCAATTCTTTTTTTGTTTTTTTTTTTTTTGTCTACTTCTGGTCACGCTCCCCAGCCAAAACTGCACATACCACAGATTATCTGACATCATTATCTCTTATACTTAGCGTGTCGCTATTGTTTAAATGTAAAATGACGCATCTTCGCCCAACCGGAAATGACGTAGGACTTTAACCGTTCATTACGTCTTTCCAATACCTGCCATTATTCTGAATCTATTTTGAACATAATTTTTGTTTTGTTCATTACTTTGAACAAATGTCTAAAAGATAGCAATTTAAGAAATTTCAAATTTTGACTTTTGTTGCTGACTTTTAGAGATTTTATTTAAAGCATTTTTTAAACTTCCACAATTTTATTGCGATCGATCTGAAAATTTTCATGTAGATAAACATTTTGATTGTGAACAAAAATATGCTTTCAAAATTTAGATATCACTTCCGGTTTTGACGTCATTCGCCTCCAAACTTCAAATTTCAACTTCCGGAATTTTGTAGATATTTGAAAAATTCTTTTTGCAATTAGTTATAATTGTCCCCGTAAAGATTTTGGAATCAAAAAATTTGACCTGGAAGTATTGTGTAAGACGCCATCTTGATATGACTCATTTTTATAAAACTCAAAATGGGGCCTCAGGGTAAAATTGGATGTGCGTAAATTTGATGTTTATGTGAACTACAATCGATTGCTAACAAAACATGGGAAGCCGATTTTTGAATTTTGGCTTTGTATTTTTTTTATTTCCGGTTTTATGTTTTCAGTAATTGTCAAAACTATTAAGGCTCATATCTAGTGACTTTGACCTTTGGTGACCTTGTGACCTGAACAAAAGTTGTTGCCTCTTACGAGATCTATCCGATTATATCTACACTTTTGTTGGTCATCGTTAACTTCCGGTTCTACAGCCATTGGAAAATCGCGATTTTTAACTTTGAAGAGCTCTGTCACGTGACCTAATTAACATACGACATAAATTCTTATATATTCTTTGAGTGCATGAAATCTCCTTTTTGGTGATATATCACACTTGATATTTTGATCAAAATTGCGCGTTTTAAAAATCGAAAATTTTGTACTGACTTCTATAGTAACTGTGCGTAAAATCACGGTGTCTATAATTTACCGACAGTCACTGTTGCCCTAAAAAAAAGTTTAACTACGAATATCTCATGATCTAATGATTGTAAAGACTTGAAATTTTGAACATTATTTAACAGTGTAGACATCATCACAGACAAATTAAAATTTTTGAAGTGGGCATGGCACATCCGGTGTGCATTTACCTTTACCTGAAATATGTTTTCAATTGTCATCCTAGAAATTTTGCATCAAAATAGATCACTGCTTAGGACAATTTGTGATAAGATTACAGTTGTTTGCATTCTTTACTTTAAAAAAGGGAACAGGTTTAACAATTTTATAAATTTTCATTTTTGATCTTTAGCATGAATGACCTTGACCTTTGCATGGTCAAAGGTCATTGACTAAGGATGACCATTCTTACTTTGATCTTTGATGTCCGATATATACTTCCGGTTTTGCAGACGTCCAAAACAGCAATTTTCGAAACTTCAAAGGCTCATATTACTTTTATTTGACATTTGTTGACCTTTTGACCTGAACAAAAGTTGTTGCCCCTTACGAGATATATCCGATAATATCTTCACTTTTGTTGTGCATTGTTAACTTCCGGTTTTACAGCAATTTGAAAATCGCGATTTTTAACTTTGAAGAGCTCTGTCACGTGACCTAATTAACATATAACAAAATTTCTTATATATTCTTAGAGTGCATGATCTCTCCTTTTTGGCGATATATCACACTTGATATTTTGATCAAAATTGCGCGTTTTAAAAATTGAAAATTTTGTACTGACTTCTATAGTAACTGTGCGTAAAATCACGGTGTCTATAATTTACCGACAGTCACCGTTGCCCTAAAAAAAGTTTAACTACGAATATCTCATGATCTAATGATTGTAAAGACTTGAAATTTTGAACATTATTTAACAATGTAGACATCACCACAGACAAATTAAAATTTTTGAAGTGGGCGTGGCATATCCTGTGTGCATTTACCTTTACCTGAAATTTTTGCAATTGTCATAACTCGCAAAGTTTGTAATTGTCATCCTAAAAATTTTGCATTAAAGTAGATCACTGCTTAGGACAATTTGTGATAAGATTACAGTTGTTTGCGTTCTTTACTTTAAAAAAGGGAACAGGTTTAACAATTTTAAAAATTTTTATTTTTGAACTTTAACGTAAATGACCTTGACTTTTGCATGGTCAAAGGACATTGATCTACGATGACCATTCTTACTTTGATTTTTGATGTGCAACATATACTTCCGGTTTTACAGACGTCCGAAAACAGCAATTTCGAAACTTCAATGGCTCATATTACTTTTATTTAACCTTTGTTGACCTTTTGACCTGAACAAAGGTTGTTGCCCATTACGAGATAT